TGTGACAGGAACTGAATTTTTCATTTAATTTTTAGTTGTTGATTTGGATTGATTTTACTTTAATTATTATAAATTTAAATTTAAATAACCACATGTGGCTAGTGACTACTGCATTAGCACAGGTCTAAAGGAATACAAAATTATAAAGTTGAACTCAGTGAAAGTATATAAATCATGACAGTTTAGTGATTTTTATGGTACCAATAAGGGCAAATAAAAGGCTTGTTTGGGGCGCCTGGGTGGCTCAGTTGGTTAAGCAACTGCCTTCGGCTCAGGTCATGGTCCTGGAGTCCCGGGATCGAGTCCCACATCGGGCTCCCTGCTCAGCGAGGAGCCTGCTTCTCCCTCTGACCCTCCCCCCTCTCATGTACTCTCTCTCATTCTCGCTCTCTCAAATAAATAAATAAATCTTTAAAAAAAAAAAAAGGCTTGTTTGATGTCGATTGGAATGTGTTTACTATATCAGTGGTCTCAGATCACAAGGAACCAATTACACAGGAAAAGAGAGACAGATAAACAGAAGGAAGCAGACTACCACTCTAATACAAACTTTTAGTAGAGAACATCTAGACATCAGTTAAAATCTGCTAAAAAGTGTAAAAATTAAAATGAAAACAGCTAACATGGTCTCTAGTCTTCTTTACGACCTGAATTAAAGTAAAGGTTTAGAGCCAGGTAAGCAAGTTGATAATTGTTTATACAGTTTTGTATATGTTTATTAATTTATACTAATTTTTATTAAGTCATTACATCTTGTTTATCTGTGATGAGAGCGAAAGACAGAAAAATAAATTCCCATAAACCTTCATTTCTGAAATAAGTCCGTTTTGGCAGTAGGTGACAGAGCATCAAGGGTTGCATTCTGCGGTTGATGAAAGTGTCCTGGAGAAACAAGACCCCGGAGACATCCCACTCCTTCAAGGAACTGGGTTTGGTTGCCCAGGTGAGGGAGCAGGTTCTGCTAGTGCCTATCACTCTGACTCAGTACTCACAGAGCTCAGCTCCCCCAGATGCACTGAACTACGAAGAGAAGGTGCTGACCCATTAACATAAATCTTCGGGTAACTTGATACTTACTAAGATTCCAGAACCATAGTCCCTTATGAGTTTAGATGCTGTGGATTTATCCACTTAAATGCGATTTCCTCTGAAATATTAAGAAAATAAACATTCCATGCTCATAAACTTGAAGACCTGACCGTGAATCATGTCGGCCACACCCCAGGCCACCAGGAACTTCAGTGGCCATCTGGTCTTCCACAGTTGATCTCCCTGCCTCGTTTGACAATTCATAAAAATTCTAAAGTTTTACAGAGTGATGAAGAGCACCTTCAACTACATCATTCAAAATAACAACTTCTACTAAGTTCTTATCTAGTGCCAAGCACTGTTCTAAGCATCTTATATTTATCTAACCTTGCCTCACTGCTATGAGTAGTTATATCTTGCCTTATATTAAATATTGTCTATCAAGGTCATTTGCTAGTAACTCTCTTATGCAATCACTCCACAGAAAGTTTGCCTTTTATTTAAAGCATCACAAACAACCTTTCAGCCAGACTTAGAAATGATGTGGGGAGGCAGAATATAGTTGCACTGCTCGTTCAAGCTATATCTTCCCCACATCCAAGCTAGTGGTCACTTTCATGAGAAGGAATGGAGGTCAATACAGCATATAGGCATATATCAAATGTATGCTTTGACAATGAGAAAATTAAGAAAAACAAAGGGAGCTTTATTTTGACCATATAACTGAACATTCTTCTTTCTGTCCCCATAACCCATTTTAAATAGTAGATGAAAGACTAATAAAAATACAAATCTTTGGAAATAATGTTTTTAGGAACTCTATAAGGAAGTTATTATTTGACACAGGAAAGTTTATTTTCTTAAGCGGTTATATAGTCATCTTTTAAATTTGGTCTTCCTTTAAAATTTGTACAAGAAAACTTTTGTAGACTTTGAAGAGGTACACCTTGGAAAAAATTTCAAGTTCAGATAGTTTAAATTGTGGCATACTGTTTTGAAGTATTTGAATTTGTAAGATAGAAAGTAGTTACATACTTTCACACTAATCTATCAGCTTTATTAACATAAAGTCAGAGTAGGGAGAGAATGGAAGGACCTTGAGGAAAGGTAATAGTCAAGGACCATTGGTAACTGTCGCATGCCTTTTTTTTTTCCCCCTTGGTCTCACTCCATATTTTTTAAAGTATAATTAATATACAGTGTTATATTAGTTCCAGGTGTACAATATAATGATTCAACAATTCTATACATTTCTCAGTTCTCAAGATAAGTGTACTCTTTAATCCCCTTTATCTCATCCATCCCCCACTTACCTCCCCTCTGGCAACCACCAGTTTGTTCTCTGAATTTAAAGTATGTTTTTTTTGTTTGTCTCTTGTTTTGTTTGTTCATTTGGTTTTTTCTTAAATTCCATGTATGATTGAAATCATTAGGTATTTGTCTTTCTTTGTCTGACTTACTTCATTTAGCATTATACCCTCTAGATCCTTCCATGTTGCTGCAAACAGCAAGATCACATTCTTTTTATAGCTGAGTAATATTCCATTGCACATATATATATGCCACATCTTCCTTATCCATTCATCTGTGGAGGGATACTTGACGCAATCCCTATCAAAATACCAACAACATTTTTCACAGAACTAGAACAAATAATACTAAAATGTGTATGGAACCACAAAATATCCCAAATAGCCAAAGCAATCTTGAGAAAGAAGAACACAGCTGGAGTTATAACAATCCCAGATTTCAAGATGTACTACAAAGCTGTAGTCATCAAAACAGTATGGTACTGGCACAAAAATAAGACACATAGATCAATGGAACAAAATAGGAGGCAAGAATATAGAACGGGGAAAAGGCAGTCTCTTCAACAAATGGTGTAGGGAAAACTGGACAGCTACATGGAAAAGAATGAAACTGGACCACTATCTTACACCATACACAAAAATAAACTCAAGTGGATTAAAGACCTAAATACGAGACCTGAAACCATAAAACTCCCAGAAGAAAACACAGGCAGTAATTTTTTTAAAACTGGCCATTACACATGCTTTGGCTGTCCCTAAGGCTGTTGTGAACTGCTAGATTTCTGGTAACACTAGGATTAAAACCGTTTCTCAAGTCCTTGATTGTGCCCCACAAGGTCTAGAGTACAGAGGACAATGCAAGCAAGATGTTGCAAAATTATAGAAAGTGTATTAGACAAATATATCTATTGCTTAATAGTCCCTTCCTTCCAATTGTAATTAGACAGTCTTTGTCAGCAAGCTCTGTGTTCCTTAGTCCACTTTTCGGTAATAAGATGTCAATAATGTTATTGTGCGGGGCACCTGGCTGGCTCAGTCCATGGAGCATGTAACTCTTGATCTTGGGGTTGTGAGCTTCAGCCCCATGTTGGGTGTAGAGATTACTTAAAAATAAAATCTTGGGGCACCTGGGTGGCTCAGTCGGTTAAGTGTCCAACTCTTGATTTAGGCTCAGTTCATGATCTCAGGGTCCTGGGATGGAGCCCCTGTTGGGATCCTCATTTAGCAGGGAGTCTGCTTGAGATTCTTTCCTTCCCCCTGCATGCTCACTCTCTCTCTCCCCCTCAGATAGACAGATAGATAAGTAAAATCTTTAATAAAATAAAATAAAATCTTTAAAAAATGCTACTTTACAATAAAAAGTAGTAATGCAAACTTAGAATGCAATGAAAAAAAAAAAACAAGAGAATTTGGAATGTTTTAGGAGTATGTCCAAAGGGAGAGCAACTAGAATGATGAAAATGCATCATGAACCACAATAACCATCTATCTCTGCAAAGCTTTCCTAGACCTGGATGTTTCTGCAGCCTTTATTCCCAACTGTACTGAAGGATCATACATAAGAAGTTACATAAGGGTGTGTGTGTGTGTGTGTGTGTGTGTGTGTGTGTGTGTGTGTGTGTGTGTCAGAGTCTAAAGGAGTCCCATAATAATAAGCCTTATATACTAGTGTTAACTGTGTGTCAGGTACTGAAAACTTGATGTGCTTTATTTCGTTTTAATTCATACAACAACCAAAATGAGTTGGACATTACAATTTGCATTGAAGATTTTTTTTTTTTTGAACTGAAATAACTCAGCCGCATTTGGCAACTGTGCCAAACAACACAGCTCATGAGAGGCAGAGCTGAGACAAAGCTCACATCCGTAACCACACAGCTCCAGTGCTGTTGGGAAGATACTGCACTAAGTTCAGCCTCCCTCAAACTATAAAATCCTACGAGTCTATTGACTGACTATAAGCATTTTTTTTTCATTCGCATTTTATTTGAAGAAAATTACACCAAATGTCTGTTTCAAAATAAGTTTCTAAACTGAAAACTGTCCAAGTTCATTTTCTATTTTTAACACAATCTTTTGGTAATTCATAAACTTTAAAGAAATAAGATAAAACCATGCTTTTAAAAGAGAGACAGGGTTTTGTGTTGTAGGCAATGCGTTACTCAAATATTTGGAATAGAAAAAGAAGATGAACCCACACTTTTCTCTCCATAGAACTGGAAAATACAAGACTTCTGATGTCCAAGTGGTCGTCTTCAGACAACCTTATTATACCTATCTAGTAGCTATAGCATAAACTCTAGTTAATTTTGAAAATTCACTTGGATGATTAACATTAATGACAGGCAGGCAAATATAAATTTAAAATATTTAAAAGAACAAACCAAAACTATTTGTTCATTAACTAGGCTTATAAACATGCCATCCACATACTGGAAAAGCTAATAATTACTCTCTAATTGTGCTAATTATGTAATGACAACATTGTAAATGTTGTTTATATAATGTTAGATTTCTCTAACTAATCTTATCATTAGTCAGACTTTGGACTTCTGCCACTGTGTACTCATGCATATACTGGTATGTGCCAAACTGTTTGAACAATTTATTTTTAAAACTGGTTGTTAATGTGCTACTATAATATTCAAATCAGAAACTTACCACATCCTTAGGAGGAGGTTCTGCTTCCTTCTTTATCTTTTTACCCATTCTGGAAAAATAAATAGTTAAAAGTGTCATTTGTAAAGGGGCACCTGGGCAGGTCTTAAGCATCTGACTCGATCTCAGCTCAGGTCTTGATCTCAGGGTTGTGAGTTCAGACCCCGCGTAGAGCCCACTTAAAAAAAAAAAATTGTCATTTGTACATCGTATATCCGATGTACAAACCTCTCAGTTGCCTATGCCCTTAGAAGGAGATTCATTTCCTTATTTTGATTTTACCTAAAAACAGACTATGCAGTACTTGTAGAAATTATCGTACACGTACAAATATGTTACCTACATTCCTATTTCAGATCCTCAAATTTTAAGGAACTTATTGATAAGATTGTTGAGTATTAGTCTGGCTTCCAGTTCGTAAGAAAGAGAATACATTAGTGACATAACTTTTACTTACATAACAGGAAACAGTTTACCATGCTTACAGCTCACTTATGGAGGGCTTGGGAGACTAAATCCAAGTTACTTTTGAGATCTGCAAGAATGTTTTGCCACAAAGGGATGGATTTTGTCTGCTTTCTGCACTGATCTAACCCAACAGTGTCTGGTACATAAATAGGCATTTGATATTTATAAAAATCATTAACTGTTTTTCCTGGGAGTATGATTTTATGAATGATACCCAAGACATAACCAACTGCAAACTAACATTTGTGTCATTTTCCCAGATAACCAAAAGTTTTCTCTAATATAATCCATAGCTCATTAAAACAAGTAATTGAGAATCTGAAGAGATGTATTCTGGGGAAATTGGAGTTATTGCTTGCAAGACCCTTTTCCACCTGCCTCTGTATGGAAAAATGTGCAGGAAAAATGCCTGTGCAAGAAAAATGTCAAAGCGTTGGTACTCATAGTTGATACACCACAGAGGAGTAATTCCACCTGGGTTCAGAGATCTTTCCAACATGTTGGTGCCTGTTAGAATAACCCCAGAAATCTTTTGAATTTTCTCCAGTGAGAGTTTATGCTTGGTATTTGTGCAATCTCAAACGGTATAAACTAGTCTCAAGGAAATTACTATAGTTTCCAGAGAAATTCTGGGAAGTCGAAAATCCTTGGAGAGAATCTACATCAGGGTTAATTCAGATAGTTTGTCAAGGCACAAATGTAACTCCTAGCATTAGAGACACTGACCAGAATTTATCACATATTTTATAAAGACACATGTACATAGAAACTCCTAGGGACTTCTGACAGACATCCAGGTCCCTAATTTCGGGTCACATACATTTCAAGATCTTTGAGGGCCTGTGCAAGTTTATGCTGTGATGCACTACCTCACATTATATCCAATATATTCAACATTAAAATGTACCCACATTCTCCATTAAATACAATTTTCATCATAAAAAGTTTTGAAATTAAGCATTTGAAATTATTCAGCAGTTTGTACACCTGGAAATTCTTACAAAATGAGAAAATTGTTTTCAAATGTAATTTAATATTAATAAAAAACATTTAACATTAATTTTTCAATTTTCTTTTCAGATTTTAGAGGCAATATTTTTTTCAAAATTCAAACATCTTTCATAGATGCTTAAAAAGCACAGACCCTAGACTTTGTGTCTATAATATTCCAAGCAGATGCATAGAAACTATTCTAAACAAATGAAAATCTATCCTACGACTAATCTCTAGGAAAAAGAAATGTCATAGCTCTTTGCAACCAATTCCAAGATACAGCAGCCTTTGACTTACATAAGAACTGCTTATGAATAATGTTTGAGAAGGAACTGAATTACACCTACACAAAGTTACTGTAGGTCATCTGATTTTCACTCAGGAACTTATTTTTCCCATTTCAGGATAGTGGCTTTGAATAATTGCATATTGAAGAGTATAGAGGTTGGAACAGCCTTAACACAAGATTAGAGCAATGAAGCTGATCTTAGGCAATACCGTGAAGTAGGAAGCATTTGGTTTGTGTTTTTATTGCCAAATTGAACATAATAGTTAATGGGGGAGAAAGTATACAACTGACAAAGAACCAGGGCAATGAGCCTCAAAGATAACCCTAAGGTGTTTTTTTTTTTAACTTTGTAAATTCAACATTTCACTTAAAAGCAACATGATACAACCAAATTACCTCATATTGTTTTATTCCTTAAAAATGTGTTTTCTTCTAAAGCTTCAGAGGTGTCAAATTAAGAAAATAAGTACCTTTGACTGTTTGAAGCAAACCTGCTTTCCTTGACTCTTTTACCACCTGCCCATTGATGTTTTTTTATTGTGCTAAAATAAACATACCATAAAATTTACCATTTTAATCATATTTAAGTGTATAGCTCTGTGTTTACTGTCCACTTACAGAGGTAATACATTTCATTACAGAAAATTTGGAAGACAAGGAAGGGCACATAGGATAAAAAAAAAATCACCCAGGAAAGACTCAGGGAGATCAGCACTATTTCAATATAGTTCCTTTTTTGTGTGTTTTCTATAGTGATTTTACCATCCTACCTGGATTTCTAGCCCCTATTCACAACTTCCCTTCCTGGAACCATTTTCCTACTATATTCTTAAACTAATGGACAAGTTCATGGAAGCTCAGTCTCCATACACTGCTCCAATCATCTCCAATGAATCAGGATATCATGTCATTTAAAATAATACTGTAAAGTGCACTATTTATCTAGACAGTCCCCTATTGTTGAGCATTTGTTTCCAATTTCCTGAAATTATGGATAAGGCTGCAATGAACATCCTTAGCCATAAAATGTTCATCCACATTCCGCAACTGCTTCTTTAAGATAAAGTAAAATCATTGGATGAAAACGCATGAACTTCACGGCATTGAGTACGAAAACAAATCTGCTTTAAATGTGCGTCTTCTTGATTATTAGAGAGGAGCCACATTTTCCCCCACAAATGTATCACTCATTTGTACTTCTGGGTGAACTTTCAGACTACACGACCTTAAACGTTTGCCAGTGGGGAGATCTTTTTTGAGAAAACTTGAAGGGGGAGGAGGAAGGCTAGAACAAGTGGGGACTCGCTTCTTGAGTTGCTGAGAGTCAAGTAACGGAATCTTAGACCCTCAGATCCCCTCTACGGGCCTCAGTTTTGTCACCTGTTAAATGGAAGGCGGCCGGGATGCTCATGAAACCCACCCCGACCCCCGTCTAATACTGCGGGCATAGGGCAGGGACCGACAACCCCTACAAGGTGTTCGTTCTTTCCCTCAGTAGCCCCAGATGTCCCCACCCGCGGGGCACCTTCTCCTTGCCCAAGTTCTGCTGGGACCTCGGCCCTGGGCCTCTCCTAAGCGCGGGCGTAGCTGCGTAGCCGCACGCCTGCCTTTACCTGCCAGGAGATCCCTCAGAGCAGCGGCTCCTCAGACCTGGAGAACTGTACCCGCTGCGGCCGGCGCGCGCCTCTGGGCCACTGTTGTTCTTGGTTGCTAGGCGACAACGGGCCGCGCCTGCGCGCGCAGGGAAGCGCGCGCCTCCGCCCAGGAAGCTCGCGCTCGGCAGCCCTATGGCGCTCATTGTCCCGCCTTAGGAAAGCCGTCGGTAGGGAAAGAGCTCGGGCGTCCTCCGCTCCCTGAGTACAGTGCTTTGAGGCAGGATAGACGTGAGAATCCTCCTCTTCCTAGTTGTTGCAGGCGAACCCAGGTGAAAACTGTAAATCAGCAGGCAGTGCAGCCTCAGCTTCTAGCCAGCGGACCGGCTCTGGGCTCACATACTCTGAGATGCTATTGCTTTCTCCCAAAGACAGGCCTCAGCCAGAATCGTGCAGATGACTTCCAAGTCGCCACTTCCTGTCCGGACTCCACGAAGCCACAGACCTGCAGGGCCGACACCTTGCATGCACTAGGGTGTCTAGTAGGCCCTCACAGAACTTATCTTGTCCCTTCAAAATCTCCTCTTCCACCTTTCTTTCCTCTTTATGCCATTCTTCCCAATGGCCTAGATCTCCATTTCCCTTCTTCGTCCTCCACCCTTCCCTCCAATCAGCGGTTAAGTCAATTGGCCCTCTTCATTTTGTCTCGTATCTATTCCCTCTCTTCAATCCTTACTGTCACCCCAACCCACGTCATCCTTTTTGGCTTCTGATGACTTTGGTTCCTCTCTCCTTTCTATTTATTCACAATACCAGAGACAGATCAACCTTCCAGAAACTATTGTTTTAGACATGTCACTCCCCTACTCAAACTTCAGTTGGCTTCCTAAAATAAAGTTTGAACTCCTTAGCCTGGTATTCAAAACTGTCTGCCCCATCCCTATTCTATTTGTGCCGCCCACCATTCTCCCACAACACAAGTCCCAGTCAAACGTACGTTCCCCCAATTTTTCCATACTTTAACCCTCTGGATTTTGCTCACTGTCCTTCATAATTTCATCTATTCAGCAAATATTTATTAAGCATCTACTATTTGCCGGGTCATGTGCAACTTGTGTAACTGCCGGAATATTCTTTCATTTCTACTTAATTAAACCCAGCTCAAATGCCATCTTCATAAAATACTCTTTGATTGGACTTTAGCAAAAAAAAAAAAAAATCTCTCCCTCTCCTGAATTCCTCTCACACTTATAAAACTCCATCTCTTGCCTGCCTCTGCTGGTCCCCCAGCCCTAAGAATGTTAGATGTTTCTTACAGTTTCTTCTTTCATATCCCTTTATGTCCTTATATCACCTTTTAAATTACCTGATAAACAGCTTTATACATATTTAAGAATTCTTTATATTAAATTTTCTATGAAATGACTTGCAATTTCTGTCTCCTGACTGGACCTTAAGTAATACACTCCTAGATCTTCAGTCTCTCCCTCTCTTCCAGCCCTTTCCCCTTCAATATAGGAATACTGTGAAGTCTCTCCCTTGCCTCATAAAAAAAAAAAAAAAAAACAGAAACAAACAAATGAAAAACCTCCTTTCAACCTGTATTTCCTTGTAGCTATCATTCTGTTTTTCTCTTTCTCTTCTTGACCATGAGTTTCCAAAACAGTAGCCTGCATTTGATATTTCCACGTGTTAACCTCCGTTCACTCTTCAAACCACAGTGATCTAATTTGCTCCCACTACTAAAACTACTCCAATCCATTGGCTGTTTCTTTTTTTTTTATCATTTTTTTTTAAGATTTTATTTATTTATATGAGAGAGAGAGAATGAGAGACAGAGAGCATGAGAGGGAGGAGGGTCAGAGGGAGAAGCAGACTCCCTGCCGAGCA